TCTTCATTTAGTAAAACTGGCATTTTGATCCCAATTATATACTTTTGATATAATTAACAGGAAAAACACAAATATTGAACTTTATTTGAAGTAAATTGAATAAATACTCAAGTCCATATAGAATATATATATATTTTATACATAAATATATAAAATATTTAACTTGCAAAGATTCTGATGTTTTTATGCATTTTTAAATTTATTTATCAAAGTTACTAGTTTAAGTGCTACAAACTAAATAAATGATTTTAGAGAGCTTATTGCCAACAGGGTCTTCAGAAGATGTGTACTTGGTGTAAACAGCATCCTCTCTGCGCTCATTTAAATCATGTGTTATATATTTATTTATTTATTCATTCATTCATTCATTTATTTATTTCCTGTAGTCAACTCGAAAGTGTTTTCCTTTTGACAAATGTACAGTATAAGCTTTCGACGTGAAGTGTACTGAATGCAGGATGAGGGTGCGGGCTAGTGGTTTTGGCATTTTTTTAAAATATCGGCATTGGCCGATAAGTTTTTCTGTTTGGCCGATGCGTTCGAGGCGGTGAGAACGGCAGCGCCTGAGCACACAGTGCTCAAATTCTCCCTCTGGTTTGCTGTTGTCGTTAACAGTTCTGTCTAAATACGGATACAAGTCTGTCTAATAATCAGATAGAACGTTTGAACGTATACAAAAAGTCTTACAACGATTGCTTTTATATTATTAGTAATAGAAAGACAAACATTATAATACTTTCTTGTTTGCCATCAGCATTCAGCAAATAACGTTACGCATTTATATCATTTAAACAAATCTTTGAATGTCTAATAAACATCTAATTTAAAAAACCTTGCAAACTTAGTCAGATCCAGTTGTGAGATCTTGTGAAGTGTGCATGTGTATCCTGCATGATCGCGTGTACTCTGCATGAAGGTCGGTCCGTGTGAATTGAATGTGGACAGGAGGAGAGTTCAGCCTCACTGGAGACGCGCGATCGACAAACTTTAAACTCGTGATTTTAAATTATGCTGCGCTTTATGCATTTGCCCACTGTCATATTCATGTCATTTTCACTGTGTGCTGTATGTAAAATTAGTGTTACCTTGGCTTTATTTGAAAAAAATATGATTCCCAATGCAAACAAACGTCCCAGATTACTTAGTGCCCTGTTGGTTACAGTGTTTACTTCCTTTTTAATTATATTTTTATTAAATATTAATTTATTTGTGAAAAATACTTTGTCATCTAAAGTATAAGTATGTTTATTTAACACATTTATTTTTTAATCAATTTTCAAATGATTTCAAATTTCTTAAATACTAATTAATTAAAATAAATAAAATTATATCGGCTTTATATCGGCCACTCTGCTTTCCAAGATATCGGCATCGGCTGTCAAAAAAACAATATCGGTGGACCACTAGTGCGGGCAGTAGTAGAGTGTGTCCGGGCTGGGGGAGGGGTGGGCTTGATTGGAGGGGAACGCGAGGGGTTGATGTTCCACCAGAGCAGGGAGTGTTGAGGGGGCTGCACGGATAGGAGAGAAAGAAGGGCCTGTACCATTGTTCATGAACAGGAACAAAGGGTCGCACGGGCACTTTTCCTCGTTACCCCCTTGAGTCCGGTTCCCGTTTAACAAAGTCTACTACCAGCGCTGAAGCTGCATTTTGTAACGGCTTTTTGCACACCACCATGGTTTGAAGGGACTGATGTTTCAGCTCACCTCTCTTTAAGAACAGCGACCGACAGACCGGGATTATAAACAGGGAGCACCGGGAGGAGAGCGAGTCGAATTCCAGCTTGGATTCCTGCAGGTGCGCTTGTGCTTCAGTGCAACATTCATTCACAGCAACCTTTCGTTTTAAAGCGAGAAAGCGTGAAAATAAAGGCGTTGAATTGCGTCGCCATGGTGATGCTGTTTACGCTGTTGAAATAACCAGCGAACCTGTGCAGGGCCTCGCCTGTGTTCCGAGCCAGGCCTGGCTAAGCTAGGCTATCAAGTTTGTCGTTATAGTATAGTAGACAAATATCAAGACTTACTAGGAATCAGTTGCTAAAAATAAATCAGCAATACGTGTTTTGAATTAAGTGCTGTGTCTTTTAATAATGGTTCAATGCACTTTATTATGAATTGTATTAAGTAGTGTGGCTACACCTTAATAGTAGCTTAGCACAAATGTTCAACAACAGAGAGAGGAGGATGAAGTCGCTACTATTAATCTGTGTGAATAGGCATTAAATACAGTCATTTGATATATCTGTTTTTAATGGATTTAAATTATAATCATAAATTATAAAATCATATTTTTTTTATTTTTGTGTGTGAATAGCATTATAAAACATGTTATTGGTAAATTTACCAACTACATGGTAAATTTAGTGTGAGCTTTAGTCTAAATAGTGTGTGTAATTCTTAAGGACATGACTGAGAATGAACGCATTATATTTCTCACATACACTTTAAAAAACAGCTCTAATGTAAAGAGAGTAGTTGGGAAAAAATGTGCATGTCTTAGTTTATTTTATATTATGCAGATTATTAAAACTCAGAGCCACAACATTGACAGGATGGTGCATCAGACTAGTAGAATGGAAGATCTGTATGTGTGACCATGCATCATTTTTCCAGCTTTTCTGGTTGACTGCCATGCAAAACTGGCAAAGATCAGGGAAATGTAATATTGTGAAAAGTCATGGATATTTCTATAGTGAATATAAATGTTTCTTGTTATGCTAAATTCAAATTATTTAATCAAATATCCATAACATAAGAAATCATGAGCACAATCATGGAAATTCCTTAGTCAAAAGGTACGGGATCATCCTTTATTTCCTTTTTATTTCCATCGTATAGCCTTTATAGTGACACAAATGTGCAAGAATCATGAAGTGCACTTTATGGATAATGTTGCATTATAATAATGGACTGAATTGTGCATTGCATTAGATTAGTCTTTGTTCGGCATTTTTTGTGGTTGTTGCTTTTAGCTTGCTGTTTCAGTTAACATGAATTACACAGCACTAACTGGAGTTATATGAATCCTTATATACAGTATGAGTGAGTTAGTGACATGACGTGTAGCCAGGTATGGTGTCCCATACTTGGAATTTGTGCTCTGCATTTAACCCATCCAAGTGCACACACACACACACACCGTGAACACACACATCCATGTTTGCTGCAGCGCCCAGAGAGCAGTTGGGGTTTCAGTGAGGTCTCACCTCAGTCATGGTATTGAAGGTGGAAAAAAGCGCTGTACATTCACTCCCCCCCACCTACAATCCCTGCTGGTACTGAGACTCGAATCCGCAACCTTTCGACACTAACCAAAAGGCCACGTCTGCCCAGGGAATGTAAGCTACAGGGAAATAATTACAATGTCACATGATCACATAATGGTGTTTGCTGACCAGTGTGTGGGCGGATTATCTATCTTAAAAATATTTTTATCATTTAAATTTTTTTAGAGAGATAATGAAGTATTTAAGGTACCATTTCCTTCAGTCTCAGATCAGCATGCATTTCACTAAGCTAATTGCAAGGATTGACAGTGAACAAGAATAACTCGAGTCTTCTTATATTTATTTATAAAAAAAAAAAAAGATTGATGTTATGATGAAGTCATATGATGCATCAGAATTGTACTGGATGTGTTTTTAGGCCTGTGTATATTCTGTGAATGTCTGTATTTTGTAGATATAATGTACAGTCTGTTACAGTGCCTTGCGAAAGTATTCATACCCCTTAATTTTTTTCACGTTTTATGTTGCTGCCTTATGTTAAACTGCTTTAAATTACTTTTTTTCTGCATCAATCTACACTCCATACACCATACTGACAAAGCAAAAACAGAATTGTCACAACTTCGTACATGTATTAAAAATAAAAAACTGAAGTAAGTATATTGCATAAGTATTCATATAAAATATTTAGTTGAAGCACCTTTACAGCCTCAAGTCTTTTTTGTTTGATGCGACAAGCTGTTCTCATCATCATTTGGCAATTATCTGCCATTCTTCACCTCGCCTCTCCACCTTTCAAGCTTTGTCAGGTTGGATGGGGCAGATGCACATTTTCAAGTTTCTCCAGAAATATTTGATTGGGTTCAAGCCCAGGCTGTGGCTGGGCCACTCAAGGACATTCACATAGTTGTCTATAAGCCACTCTTGCTGTGTGCATAGGGTCATTGTCCTGTTGGAAGGTGAACCTTCTGCCCAGTCAGAGGTTCTGAATGCTCTGGACTGGGTTTTCATTAAGGCTATCTCAATTTTTTGGTGCATTGAGCTTTTCTTCTACTCTGAGTCCCTCAGTCCCTGCCGCTGAAAAACAGCCCCACAGCATGAGACTGCTACCAGCATGCTTTACTTTTGGGATGGTACTCTGCAGGTGATGAGCAGTGCCTGGTTTCCTTCAAACATGATGTTTTTAATTGAGGTTCATCAGACCAGATAATACCGTTTCTCAGAGTCTGAGGGTCCTTTAGGTCCTTTTTTCAAATTCCAAGTGTGTTTTCATGTGGCTACACTGAGGAGAGGATTGAGTTTGGCCACACCGCCATAAAGCACAGATCGGTGGAGTGTTGCAGTGATGTTTGCTCTACAGGCAGTTCTTTTGACCTCAGGGCTTGGTTTTTGCTCTGATATGCATTATCAGCTGTTAGACCTTTAATTAAGATGTGTGTGCCTTTCCAAATCATACCCATTCAATTGAATTTGCCACAGGTTAACTTCACTCAAAGTGTAGTAACATCTACAAGTAATATGAATGCTCCTGAGCTAAATTTCAACTGTCTCAGATAAGGGTATGAGTACTTTTGCAATGGAATCAATTAGGTTTTTTATTTTTAATACATTTGCACAGATGTTAAAAACCATTTTTTTGCTTTACCATTATGGTGCATGGAAAGCAGTTTAACAAGGCAGCAACATAACAAAATGTGAAAAAAATGACTTTTGCAAGGCACTGTATGTCTGAGTGGTGTTCTCTTTCTCATTATCTTTCTGTTTCCTATTCTAGGCTGTTCGTCCAAGTCCTTCAAGCTGTACTCCCCAAAGGAGCCCCCCAACGGTAGTGCCTTCCCTCCATTTCACCCAGGTGCAATGCTGGATAGAGATGTGGGGTGAGACTTATGCTGTGATTATTGTTTTACATGGTGAAGAAGACTGTGTGTGTGTGTCCATTTTCTAGTTTTAAAGTAACAGTTGCTTGACATCTAGCTAACATCTATCTAAAGTAAACTGATAATACACTAGATACGTAATATGAAAGTTGCTTATTTGAAATTCTTCATTATTCCCCTTATATTTCAGTCCGATGCCGATGTATCCCCCGTCTTACATGGAGCCTGGAATAGGGTAAGTACTTATTTGGCAGCTAACATCTTTGTCTACAGCAGTGTATTTTCAGGAGACAGACAGCAGGGTGTAAATACATAGTGGATGTACTAAAACAAAAAAGCTTTTGGTTTCACTGCATGTTATAAACTGTCGCAAGCCTTTTCAGACTCTGCTCTGCCTTGTAAAATACTGTTCATATTATTTCATTATTTTCTTGAGAAAAGTATAATTTTTCTTAATATATTATTTAAATGCACATACACACTACTGTTCAAAAGTTTGTAGGTCAGTAAGATTTTTTAATGTTTTTGAAAGAAGTTACTTATGCTCACCAATTACTGTGAACTATTATTACAATTTAAAATAACTGTTTCGATTTTAATGTATTTTAAGATGTAATTTATTTACTCCAGTCTTAACTGTCACATGATCCTTCAGAAATCATGCTGCTCAAGAAACTTTTCCTATCAGTCTTGCTGAATAAAAGTATTAATTTCTTTGAAAAAATAAAATCTTTCTGACCCCAAACTTTTGAGTGGTAGTGGATGCTCAGTAGCTTTATAATAATGTCATGTTACAGGAGGCACACACCGTTTGGAAATCAAACAGACTACAGAATATTTGAGCTCAACAAAAGACTACAGAATTGGACAGAGGTAAAAAAAAACACTTTATCACATTCATCAGTATTCATGGTACACACATTTTAATAGGGAGTAACAGAAATCCTATTTTCATTTGCTGAAATGGAAACAGTAGTTTGTTTGTTTGCATGCATGCAAATCATGCAAAAACTTGCAATGTAAATGTTGCTTGTTTAGCTAATTTAAGTTTATTTTAATTAAGATTATAGATGAATAGTGTTTTTTGTGCTTTCTCAGCAGGACTGTGACAATTTGTGGTGGGATGCGTTCACTACAGAGTTTTTCGAAGATGATGCAATGCTGACGATCACTTTCTGTCTGGAAGATGGGCCCAAACGATATAGTAATGTTCCGTTTTGTAAAGTCACTTCAGTGATTTGAATGTTTGTATTTGAATTTGATTTGAATAATCAAATATAGACAGAGACATAAGGAAATGCATTTATATTTTGGTATTCCCCGTGTAACTGAATCCAAAATTGTATCATGTTTCCAGCTATTGGTAGAACGTTGATCCCTCGGTACTTCAGGAGTATTTTTGAGGGTGGAGCCACTGAACTCTTCTATGTGCTGAAACATCCCAAGGAGTCTTTCCACAATAACTTTGTGTCCCTGGACTGTGATCAGTGCACCATGGTTACACAGAACGGCAAACCCATGTTCACACAGGTATCATTTTCCTCTGTGTACAGTTTTAAAACATTGACTAAGCATATCCTTTGGTATGACCACGATTATACTACTCACTTCTTGCAGTTTATTATCAGAAATAAATCCTAAAAATAGCCTTTATGTGTTGCCCGTTCATTTCCTTTTCAAAGTGAACGTGGTGTCAGAGAAGGCATACATTAACTCAAATGGAATTCAGAGTGCTTCCATTAAATAAGCATTGCAATAAGAACATAACAGTCAAGTTTATAGCAGGCCATCTCCACCATTGCCATTTGACATAACTGAGAAGTCCTGTCATCTCCTTAGGTGTGTGTGGAGGGCAGACTGTACCTCGAGTTTATGTTTGATGACATGATGCGTATTAAGACATGGCACTTCAGCATCAGACAGCACAGAGAGGTCGTGCCGAGGAGCATCCTGGCAATGCATGTGAGTTTGGGATATTCAATCGTACTGTTTTGTTTTTGTTGCTACAGCATCTATTCACATCATTACTAAAAGTTTGGAGTCAGGAAGTTTTTGTTGTTTTGTTTTGAACGAAATTACTGTTTTTATATTACTGTTTTTTTTTTTTATTCATAATGCTGCAAAATACTTACATTTCAAATAAATGCAGTTCTTTTGGGCTTTTAATTCATCAAGAAACCCTGAAAAAAGTTAGTACGGTTTCCACAAAAATGTTAAGCAGCACAAACATTCATGATAACATTTCATGGGCACCAAATCAGCATATTAGAATAATTTCTGAAGGAGCATGTGACACTGAAGACTGGAGCAATGGCTGCTAAAAATTCAGCTGTCCCATCACATGAATAAATTACATTTTAAAATATATTAAATTAGATTTTATGACATTAAAGAGCAGGTCATATGGTATTTTAGAGTGTCCTAATATTGTGTTGGAGTCCTCTACAACAGGTTTAAATGCATCTAAGGCCAGAAAACATTGTCATTTTCTCAGAATATACATTTAAGAGTAATTTGCCAATGATTTCGAAACGATTCGTTCCAAGCAAGTTCGGAGCAAACCCCTCCCTTCCATAAGCCTACTCTGCTCTGATTGGTCAGCTGGCCAAGCAGCCTGTTGTGATTGGCACACAGAGAAGTCCTTGAGCAAGTTAGCGAGCGCTACCATTGCCAAAGCACCTTTACATAAAACAATAATATAGTGCTCCAATCCGTTCTTAAAATAATGGCATAAAATACAAAAACATTTATGCAAGCGAATCGTGCCCACAGCTAAAGTTTAGCTGCTAAACTGTAACGTTAAACACTTAAAACAATAATGGTGGGTACGTTAGCCGAGTACTAACGTGACTAACTGATGAAACAATACAGTTTGTAAACCAAAATATGACTACTGTAATGTTTGAAGAACGACAGACAAAAGACACTCTCTGTGTCTTAACTTTTAATCAGAACGCGGAACAGCTGTATCACAGGCGCACCAGCCTAACTAACTTAACTCGCTCGTCTCTCCCGCATTAACCCTATAACTGCCGGTGCAGCAAAATAAACACTGGAAACCTAAAGCTGCACTAGGTATACATCACATATTACCAAAAAATCTTGATATTTTGAGCACTCAATTGAAAATGTGCACATAACGTATAAATCGTACTTACAGGTTGTGGTTCGGAGAGCTTGTTCGTCCAAATAAAGAAGATTAGAAGCCGACAAAGATAAAAGCCAAGATTAGAGAAGCAGTCCTTGGTAAAATGACATGCACACAACAAAAGGTTCAAATTGTATTTCTGTGGTATCCCTAAACACAAAGCTCTTCTTGACATGATGTAAACACACTAACTAGCGGAAGTGTTTGTATGCAGGTCAGACTCTGTTCGTATTTCGTGGGCAGGCAGGGATTATGCAAATGTGTATGTACACAGTGACGTATACTGGTAACAGGCAAAAGATTCGAAAATATGACGACTCGTTAAGGCGATTCAGAATCGACTCTCTCTTTTGAGAGACAATATCTTTATCATGCACTTTTTTGATTAACAACTTTGCAGAATGTTTTCATTTAAGGATAGCTACGTTATAAACTGCAAAAGAGATATTTTTCAAAAACCCATATGACCTGCTCTTTAAAATATATTAAAACAGTTATTTTAAGTTGCAGTTATATGTTACAATATTACCATCTTTGATCATGTAGCCTGGATGAGCATAAGAGACTTCTTTCCAAAACATTTAAAAATTCTACTGACCCCAAACTTTTAAATGGTGCTTTTGCCATTAATTCAGACCATTCTTAGAATTTAGTTTTGTAGATAATTGCAGCTGTTTTTTTGTTGTTTTACTTTATAATATTCAAGACGTTTTAAAGGGGTCATATGATGCGATTTCAATTTTTCCTTTCTCTTTGGAGTGTTACAAGCTCTTGGTGCATAAAGAAGATCTGTAAAGTTGCAAAGACTAAAGTCTCAAATCCAAAGAGATATTCTTTATAAAAATTAAGTCAACCATGCCTACCTAAAACGGCTCGTTCTAACACGCCCCCACATGTCTACGTCACTGTGTGGGAAGATTTGCATAACGCCGCCCAAACGTTCACGCAACAAAAGAAGGTGTAACTTTTATTCTCGCTGTTGTATTGTTGTTGCCGCCGCCGCCATGTCGTCAAGGCGGTGTGTTTTTCTTTGTGAAAGCGAAACTACTTTGGTTGGCCTTCCAAAAGAGGACAATATCCGCTTCGTCATGCCTGGAGCTGATCCGTGCTGGTCGCTGAGGAAATACATCA